ACTCATTTTAGTAATCCCTTGTAATCACCAATACTAAGAGGATATTTTCGATTAGAGTTCAAGTTCATCCGCCTTTTCATTGAATATCAGTTATGGCTGTATTAGGTCAAAATTGACCAGTCAAGCAAATTTCCAACAGTGTAATTAACTTCTCATAATTGGAAAATGTCTTCAATTCTTAGAGACAACTTCGCCGATATGCAAAACATGTGAACAAGATTTTGGCAATGAACCTCCGTTCTTGGCTGAAGCCCCTACATGATGTTTATCGCATTAGAGATAGGTCATTGAGAGAAGAATTATGATATGATCATAATTTTATTTAACATTATTATGATACTACTGATCATATGAATTCGTCTTCTCAAGGGTGTGTTTCCTTCATATTGAGCATTTTATCAGTCTCATACCTAAACTGCAACAACTATTCAAAACTGGCTGAGTCTTTCTCTCATAGATGATACAGCCAAACGCTATCAAACATTATCTCTAGAAGTCAATGAATGGAGAGAAATGACTTCATCTTTTACGCTATATTGCAGACATCTTCATAGAGAAAGAGCCTTCGCAGAAAAGCAAAACCAAAATCGCTGAAGTCCTCAACAATCAAGTTTGAAGCAGGTTTAGGTATCCTCTCCTAACTTGTATGGGCGTTACATTTTATTCAAACCTCAATAATACGCCCTGCAAGATTCTCGCAGTCGCCCTCTATATCCGACACTGCCATCAACTCTGGGTCATCCGAGAGTATCAGTCTGTAACTGGCCTCGTGTTCTGGAAGCGTCACATATCGCGGTATACGGAAGATGTATTTGAGAACGCGATCCTACAAAAGTTGGAGTGACGTTAGACGTTAAACAAGCACTAATTTTTGCAAGTATAACAACACGCCTGACATTTCGCTCCACACCACAATCACTCATATATCCTTTTCTGGATTTATTTGTAATGTGTAATCACATACCATGCAAAATGTAATTCAGTCAACAATAGCTAAAGAGGCAACTTACAGTAAAAATGCTAAAGGCATCTTTGACTTCACTGCGGTAAAAAATCAGACCTATAGTTTCTTCCATGAATTTCTTGTTGTTTGCAACCTGCAAAAGACAGGTAGTACTTTTGGAAGATTCGTTTATATATAATCTAACCGTGGTCAACAAAGATTCTGAATAAATCCACTCCTTAACAGCTTCCTCCCATGACTTCACAGCGCGATTGTAAACTTTGAAAGGAGACAAAGTAGTCATCAAAAACCCTCCAAATTATTTCAAAAATGCAGCATTTGAAAAATTAACATACTTGTGTCGGTAAACCCAGCCGGTGAAAACCCATAGTACTGCGCTTCAAATTCATTTATTAGTTCAGCTTGTGGCA